GTAGGCCAGAGGTTCTCCATTCCTTGCTTTGATTAGGTTGCTGTCCTTTGAAGATACCAGCCACAGAGACTGGCAAAACGTCAGGAAGAACCTTCAGAACATGGCCAAAGAGCCCAAAAAACCCAGAACAACCATTAGATCCCGGCCGTGAAAGCCTTCGTGAATATTCTGAATTCTCAGCTGTAATACTAAGTTCAATATTAAAATGGGAATAGAAAAGGTACAATTCTATTTTAGCATACACACTAGATGATTCCAACTTATCCATTCAAACATAACAACTAGAAACACACCATTATTCGACTTCTCTTGAGAATTACACAGAGTTAATGTGACAAGGCTGCTAGTTTCTATGGCTTTATTATGGAGTCCCGCAGTGTTAGAACATAAAATGCCATCCAGCTGATGAATTCAGAATACGTATCCAACTTCAGAAACAAAACTGGAACAAAATGCAGTATTGCAGAGGAGACTTGGTAACATACAAGTATGTATACATGAATTGCTTGGGCCTAAATTACAACTCATGGCACGGCAATTGTTTTGGTTCAATGCAATTATCTGTTTCCCAGCATGAAGCAAATTGTTGAAACTTCTGTGCAATCTCCAAAGCAGATTTTCTACTCACAAACTCTACAAAGAACACATTTCTAAGCAGTTGGTAATCCCACCAGAGGCTATTTTTAAAGGACTCAGCACCTTGTAGTTTTTACTGACAGGTTGCCCTCTCACCCATTTGAACATAAATTTTTATTTGAAATCCCTCTGCTGCTGCATTATAGCCCTGGCACTGTGGTTTGCAATATTTAAAAATAAGTTGGTGATAACATGTAGAACTAATTGAGAACCAGGCATAAAGCAATGAGTTTGAATCAACCTGACAAATTATTCCACAAAAACTACTATTCTACACAAAAGTTGCCCAATTTGTCCTTTTTTTTCTCTAGTTGCTATATAATTATGGTTGACATAAAGTTTCTATCTTGTCTCTCCCATAAAAAATGAATAGTGGTTTTCAGCAGCTTTTCTGTCATGTCTACTCTTCAGTGATGCTGAAATTCTAACCTCTCAATCCTGATGAAAGCTCAGACTCTCTGCCTTTTATGCAAGGGGATGCTGTAAACCAGCAATCATGGGGTGAAAATGTAATTCTCTATCTCTCTCCTTTGATATGACTAGATTTTACTCAAAGACTCTGGAATCTCTGGATGGAGGGAGATTTTAGCATCACACCTATTCTGTATGGGGGCAGATTTATAAATAACTCCTAGTAATATATAGGACCTGACTCTTCAAGAGAAAGGTTTGAATGGCAATTCCCTCACCTTTGGGGGGTGAGGTTTCCCTAGAGATCCATTTAAAACTGCTAGAGAAAACTGGTTTCTTGGTGATCAGCTAGAATTCGTTGAGACATTGCTTTGCTTTGTAAAGTTAACTGCCACTTGTTTTATGTATTTTAAAATGTTTCATCCATTCCGTAAAGACAGACTTTCTTTTGCAGACATTACTGTTTATATAGTCTTGCTTTTCAAAACACAGGGAAATTATCAAAGAAGGGGAAACCCACTCAATTTTAAAGCAAAAAGTTACAGTATGTCTGAAGTTATAAGCATAACCCACACTCAAACAAGAAAATTCAGACGACCCTGTTCTCACTCACAGTCATATATCCTTTTTGCACCTTAAAACCCATATACAGTACATATGAGGTGAGTTCTATTCATTGTTCCCCTAAAGATGGGGAGGGACTTTTCTTACTGAGAACTAAGGTCATTAAAAACAGCAAGATCAATCAGGCTGTATTACAATATATGATGGAACTATAAATGAGGCTGCATTACAAAACTAGTATTTGCAGATGTTGACACTATAAAAGTATGTGTTTCATTACACCTTTTCTATACTGTTCATTTACTGTATTTAAAACATTTTAATCCCCACCTTTCCCATTAAAATGACAACTGACATCATTGAAAGACAAAAGAGAAAAACTGAAAACAGTATACAAATATTAAAAAGAATCAACTGAAAGACAAAAGAGAACAACTGAAAACAGTATATAGTAAATATTAAAAAGAATCAAATATTACACTAAAAATGGTAAACAAAATAGACACCAAAAGCAGATTCAAAGTAACAAGGCATAACACTCCATTTAAAACCTATTTTTTTAGAGGCAATAGTACTACCTTGTTTTCCCAAAGATAAGCTCTAACCTGAAAATAAGCCCTAGTAAAACCTATGTTTTTAGAGGCAATAGTACTACCCTGTTTTCCCAAAGATAAGATCTAACCTGAAAATAAGCCCTAGTATGATTTTTTCAGGATGCTCATAATATAAGCCCTACCCCAACAATAAGCCCCAGTTAAATGGAACCCTGCCCTCCACCATTGTGCAGCAACCAGATGACATGACTGTATTTGAATAAATGCAGATTGTTGTAGTTTTTAGAGGCAATAGTACTACCCTGTTTTCCCAAAGATAAGATCTAACCTGAAAATAAGCCCTAGTATGATTTTTTCAGGATGCTCATAATATAAGCCCTACCCCAACAATAAGCCCCAGTTAAATGGAACCCTGCCCTCCACCATTGTGCAGCAACCAGATGACATGACTGTATTTGAATAAATGCAGATTGTTGTACATGAAAAAAATAAAACATCCCCTGAAAATAAGCCGTAGTGCGTTTTTTGGAGCAAAAATTAACTGTCTTATTTTCGGGGAAACACGGTAGTAGCATTGCACTATACATAAATTTGGTGACTAGAAGAGTGCCTGTATTTTGAGTGAAGACAGAGAATGACTAATCCACAGTCTGAAATTCATTGATTTCAGGAGTATAAGTTTCAACTATAACTTCTTGCTTTAAATTGAAGAGTTTTTCCCCCTCTTTCTGATTGGGGAATATTATATTATTTGTGGACAGGAAGATAGTCTGTGAAGTTTGCCATGATACTTGTCTGGTGGCTTGATTGTGACTAAGTTATGCCACCAATGTAGGAATCTTGTTTTCTGTAACTACAATGAATGTTTAAGCTAGTAAAGCTTAATCGTGTGTGCAGCTACACTAATCAATGAGTTGCTGTTCACATTGCTAGCCATGCATCAGTCATGTGATTTCTGTAACTACAATGAATGTTTAAGCTGGTAGTGTAAAGCTTAATCGTGTGTGCAGCTAGAGTGAATAACACTAATCAATGAGTTTCTGCTCACATTGCTAGCCATGCATCAGTCATGTGACTTGGTGCATGACTAGGGATGTAAGTATTTATTTATTTATTTATTTATTTGTGCATGACTAGGGATGTAAGTATGTATTTATTTATTTATTTGATTTATACCCCGCCTATCTGGACCACCGGATCACTCTAGGCGGCTATTTCTCTAGGCGACCACTCTAAGTAGCAATTTATTAATTACAAACAGTTCTTTGGTATAGTTAAGGCAATTACATATATGGCTATATGAATTTCTAATAGGATTCTGGCAATTACAGACTAATAGCACTGATAGAACCTACAATCTTATTCAGCCATTTCAACTATATGCTGGATAAACCTGTGGAAAAATTGTGCACTAAATAAACATCTCATAGGTTCAATCATGCTCCACACAGAAAGGTGGCTTTCTGAAAAGGGGGGGATGAACACCAACAGAAATGGGGGAGATAAAGGTCAAAGCTCCCATGCCCTCTCCCCACATTTATTCAATGTGGAACTGGAAAGCACAAACAGGGGACGTAAAAAATCAAGACACTTGCAGGGCTATTGCTTTGTCCTGGAGCTGTGAATTGCTAGTATCACTCAAAGCAACCAAGGGCTGGAGCTAGAACTTGTTCTGGGATCGCACTTCCTCTGAAAGCCCAATTGTTAGTTGAGTCAATGGACCCAATGTGAAAGACGATTTATCAGTCCCATTAATCCAGTGGACCTATGGGAGCTGGAACAATCGGATTTAGGCTCTTGTTGGAAAGGGCACAGCACCACAGGTGCAATATGGCCTTGCAGCTTGGGGTGCAGGAGATGTGTGTAGTAACCGTTCTGTTCAGTAATCAGGAGGCTGTTTTTCCTCTCCCCAAATCTTGCAGACTCCTTTGGCGCCAAGTCGAGAGCAAAAGATTTTCTCTGAGCCTTTGCCCGAAAGTCCCCGCCACCAATTCCTATACGGGACGAACGTTTAAAACGGACCTGAGAGCGGCGTTTTTCCCAAGGCAAAAAATCTACGTCGCTGGCCGGGGATGCACCGCCACCTGGCCTTCCCACCTCTCCTGACTGAAAGGGCAGAAGATGCGGGACCGGGGGGGGGAGAGAGAAGAAAGCCAGGCGGGCGGCTCTCTCGCTTTCGCCTCCTCTCCGCTACCTCCTTCGCAGGCCCGTTAAAAGGCGGGCCGGCGGGCGGGCTCTCCCCTGAGGACGGACGCCTAGGCGGCTTCGGCGAGGAGGGGAATTGCTCCTCAGCCCGGCGGTTTCCCGTGGGCAGGGGCGAAACGGGCCACACCGCTCCGCCCTTAGCGGCCTCGGAAGAAGGCGGAGCAGCTCCGGGAAGGAGGAGGTGGTGAAGGGAGGAAGAGGTGGGTCGCTGCCGCTGCCTCTCCTGCCAGGCCATGGCCCTGGTTGGGCCTTTCAGTAGCCGCCTTTGAAGCGGGGGGTCG